GCAGGGGGGGGGGGGGGGGGGGGGGGTTGTTACGAGAGGTTTAAAAAGGCTTTTCGGGTCCCGGTGGAAACTCACACGATCTGATTGGTTGGCAAGGGTGGTTAATGTGTTACTCGTCCTGGATTCGCTAGGGGGGGCAAGGCAGGCCGGCGGACATGGCGGGATGGACCGGCGTTGGACGATCGTTTTCGGGCCAAATGGCGGACAGCGCTTTCCCCCCCCGAATTCGAAGGTTCGATTTTGCAAACATGACGCCAGTCAATACCGTCACTAAGGCCGACCTGTGGGCCTGTGGGTGCGAAAATGTGTTGTTGCTGTGGCGTTTTTTTTGTTCTGCACGTTGGGTTGGCTTTCCCGTCCCCTTCCCGGTGCGTGCATGTTGCACCAATGCGGAGGCTGTCCAATCGGCTTGGTTTTCCGGGTAATTTTAGTCTTGGTTTGTCTTTACTGTTGGTATCGTCGTTGTTGTTGATGTTGGTGTTGGTGCTGATGTTGTTTCGCGGAAGAGATGGTTTTGGCGAGCGAGCTTGCCTATGCGCACACCTATTTAGGTGTGTATAGTCGATAGACTGCTGTGTTCACCGCCAAGCGAACAGCATCGCCACTTTTGTATATGGCGGTCATTCCCGTCCTCCTTCGAAACCTTACCGGTCTGTGTGTCTCTATAAGATGTGGCATATGTCTGTCGCAAGTGTTCTTGTGTCTCGGCGCCCCCTGTGCTGCAATTTTGTCTTAGTGCGATTTTTATGTCGGCGAGACTTTTCTCGCGTGCGTGACCGGCCCGTTGTCGGCTTGGAAACGCTTCCCTCGACCTGCCCTAGGCCTGGCACGTGACGTGCACCTCGTCAACCGACCGGCGGTTAATGGGTCCGGGTAGGTACGCGGAGTTCTCGTGGTGCGTGGACGCTAGAAGAAGTTTCTGGGTATAACGCTGCATACTATAGGCACCATCGTTTGCCTCGCGGTGTGAATTAGCACATCGAAAGAATGTTGGCTTGATGCACAACGGCGGCCGTAGGTAGCAGAAACGCCTCTGATGGGGGAACTGGCGAATCGGCCACACGTGTGTGTCTGCGCGCGACGGGGGGAGGGTGAGGTGCGTGTGGCACCTGGACTTTGTCTGCCCTTGACGGGGACCAGTATCAATCACGTGCCGGCAACACGCGGAATAGGTGCGTTATAGACTCTAATAGTTGCCCTTGCTCTGGGACTAGTTGATTTCGGGTCGAACGTGTGTTTGTTTGCCGTGGAGAATGGAGAACGCTAACCCCCACGAAGTGCGGCCTGTAGTGTATGTGCTGGAGAGGGCTGTGCTGCAGACCGAGCGACGCGGTTAATATTGGTCAATGTTTGGAGATCGGTAAACACCATTCTCTACGGATAAGACGCAGCCTCGCGCGAGCTACAGTAGAAGGGCGTTTTTCGCCCGAACCATTTTTTGGAAGTCGGACAAATTGGATCGGGAGCGTCGTCGATGATCTGACGACATTGATTGGGGGTTTCGAGTGGGCGCTATTAGGTTACTTCCCTAACGGAAGTTGGCGATCGGACAGGCTGGGCTCGTTGAGGTAGCGGCGGGGGTGTGCGTGCGCAGGCAGAGTCACGACGGCGGCGAGCGTAATCAGTTGTGTCCAGCGGTGGCAAATTGTCCCACAGTTGCCTGCTCGATCTTTTCTCAAGAAGTAAACTGCAGTTACATTTTCTCGTTATCGAAAACAGGCAAGATTTGTTCGCCCTCGAACGGGGCTTCGGAATTGACGTGATCTTGACCGAACTGTGAATGTGTGTGCTGCGTGGAACATTGTTTGAAGGAAATGTCCTGTCCGATCAACCGGAAGAAAGCACATGCGCACTCGACACGATTCGTAACTGAATTTCCAACGTCGTGGTGTCACCTGTTCCCCCCCCTCCCCCCCCCC